AGCACTATGATGTAGCATCACATGCCATTTTACACGAATAGTTAAACAGGAAAAAGGGAAGAAAGCTGCTTCCAGAGAACAATAGTATACTGTTTCTGTTAAGAAGCAATGAAAAGTATAATGCTTATTTGCACAATCTGTGTTCAGTGATGACCATACATTTATTTTTAATTTATTTTTATAGTTTCATCTCACATTTCTACCAAAAAGATAGAGCTCAGGGCAGCCAATACCGAACTGAAATGATTAAAGCAATTGGAATTATTGAAATTATCAACACAATAAAGCTATTTAGAAGACAGATTCTCAAAACTTTTTCAGCCACAGAGCATTTTTGAAGCAAAGGTTTCTTGTGAAGCTCCTATTATATTATATTATATTATATTATATTATATTATATTATATTATATTATATTATATTATATATACAATATTATGACCAAAAGGTTGGCGGTTCGAATCCAGGGAGTGGGGTGAACTCCCGCTGTTAGACCCAGCTTGTGCCAACCTAGCAGTTTAAAAGCATGCAAATGTGAGTAGATCAATAAGTACCGCTTTGACGAGAAGGTAACAGCGCTCCATGCAGTCATGCCAACCACATGACCTGAGAGGCGTCTATGGACAATGCCGGCTCTTCAACTTAAAAATGGAGATGAGCCCCACCCCCAACACTCCCTGAGTCAGACACGACTAGACTAAATGTCAGGGGAAACCTTTACCTATATTACATTACATTACATTACATTACATTACATTACATTACATTACATTATATATATATTGTGTGTGTGTGTGTGTGTGTGTGTATCTCAGGCATGGGCTGGGCCAGTGTCAGATGAAGAGAAAGTGTTTGTGTGAACTTATTCACAGAGTGCAAAAAAAAAAAAAAAAAGGAAAAATGAAGGAGAACAATGCAGTATTTAAAATGAAGAACAATTTTAACCAATATAAACATAACAGTTGTTCAGTAGAAGACCACTACTGGGGCTACCCAGTACAACTCCCTTCTGCCATGCAGGAAACACACAATCAAAGCACCCCCAGCAGATGGCCACCGAGCCATAACCACAACAACAAAAACAAAAACCCAAGGGCTGTCCAGTCTAACCCCCTTCTGCCATGCAGGAAAAACACAATCAAATCATTCTCTGTGCGGTGGGGAGGGAAGTAGGGTTTTAGAAGGAAATAATGTGGTGAGAGAGGCTTTGAAGAAAGTGTCTGTGCCCCAGGAGGACACTGCTGTTGTTTCTAGCAGCTCAAAACTTTAATTTCCCTGCGTTTCTCAGAAGCAGGAAGAGGAGGAGGAGGGAAGCAACATGGCACTGCGGAAGCCCTCGACTATCACTCGCAGAGCTCCAAGGGCTCTGCGGAGTAGTTTGAGAACCCCTGATTTAGAAGGTCAGATTAAGGAGATGGGTTGACACAGACTTACTGAACACTAAAATTATGAGGAGATCCATTATTTGGGCGCAACACTTGAGAAAGCTCTCACTGTTTGCCTGTCGGGGTTTGCACAGGGAATGAGCTTGTCAGGAGGGCCTCTCTTGCAGATCATAACATTCAGGCAGGTTAATAATGACAACACAACTCTTTACATTTCTGAAAGAATCATCCAGATTTTCGTAAAATACTGTTGCAAGTGTGGAATACGTTTTGCAAGCCTCCCCTTTCACCTTCTTAGGCTTTTATCAGATCCTTGCACCACGCATTTCAATCAGTGTCGCACAAAAAAATTAATAACAGTTTGCACTGATGTGCATCATGTCTAAATGACAAAATGCATGGACTTCTTAGCTGAGGGCCCTAACCTGCTGTGTGGAAATACACACTTAGTAAATGAGATAGTCATTTAAGCAAAAGGAGCAGAAAATGTTGCTCTACTGGTTAGCCAAGCTGTGTTATAGGCCAACTGGAAAGATGACAGCATGGTCTATAGTACACAAAACATTGCATCCAACAGTTTTACAAAATAATTATCTCTGCTCCAAAGATGTTAGGAGGAGAAAGTCATGTTTAAAAGGAAAAGGGCTGCTTGAATCCCATTCTGGTAAAAACATAGAATATAAATACCAGCTTTAGCATTTATTCTAATCCTCTTACTATGTGCCTTCAAGAACTAGCAGTCCCTGAGTTACAAACATCCAATTTACAGATAACTCATAGTTACAAACAAGGATGAGACTACAGGAAATGAGAGAAATCTATCCCTTAGAAGAGAAATGAACTCCCAAAAGAGTTATCATGAGGAAAAGGTGTCTTCACTGAAGCTTTATCACCAATCCTTGTTTCCACAACTAGCCACATTTTGGATTTTGAAAAATTTGGCTTGTTGTGGAATCAAGGATTTGTGATAAAGCTTCAGTGGAGAAATCTTTTCCCCATGATAACTCTTTTGGTAGTTATATCGGCTGTAATTACACTTTAAAATGTACCTGTTCTGACTTACAAACAAATTCAACTTAACTCTCTATTCTAATTTTACACCTGTGCTATTCCTACTTCCCATTAGGTGATTGTTTTCTTAATTACTCACACAGCATCTCATAATTATATCTGTCATTACTCATCCGCTTTTAACCACAAGTTCTCAGGAAATCCTCCTGCGTCATCATTACAGAACTGTGCTTTCGGATAAGTAAGCACCTCATTTAAGAAATATGCTAAATTATTCTTAATTCTTAGAACCTGTTGGTTCACTGCAGGTGTAACACACCAAGATTTAGAGATTAGGCTCCAGGTGCCCTCCTTCCCCAATACTTTGCTCTTTGCGTCCCCAAGAGTGGGGAAAGTCAGGCTGCACATGGGTTGCAGCAGTCACATAAGCAGGGAGAAAGGCAAATATGAAAATGCAGGATGTAGTCATTGAAATCATGAAGTTAGACATGATAAAAGAAGAGGAAATATTCTCAAATGGCAGGAGAACATACTGAAGTCTGGTCTGGACATTTAAACCCTGGTTGACATAACTGGAATACGGAGATATTTTCTATAACTACAAACTTAGCCTCTCTTTACTCCTGCTTCATTCCATCCCTAGTGTGAACAGGGAACTACACCAGGAAGTTACAATTAACTATGGTTGTTGTTGTGTACTTTCAAGTTGTTTCCAACCTACAGTGACTCTAAGGGCCCTTCCACACAGCCCTATATCCCAGGATATCAAAACAGAAAATACCACACTATCTGCTTTGAATTGGGTTATCTGAGTCCACACTCAGATAACGTGGGATTTTCTGCCTTGATACCTTAGAATATAGGGCTGTGTGGATGGAGCCTAAGGCAAACCTATAATGGGACTTTATTGTTAGTATTTGTTCTCTAGACTTCCATTACATTTGCCACAATACCTATAGTTAATAGCTTCCAAACAAGCCAGGATTTAGAAGCCAATTTGGAATCATGGCTTGCTTGGTATCACTGACCCTATTTTTTTCACCTATGATGTAACATGCAACTATGGCTTCCTAGTTTATTTTCCTACACGTGGGAGGAAAACAATGACATCCAGACACACAGAATATATGCAGTCTGATCTATTATCCAAATTACAGTATTGTCTTTTATGTAAACACAAAACATTCAATGTAATTTATCCATGACTACTTTTTTATTTAAAAAAAAAGTCTACACACTGAGTGTGCTTTAGTGCTTGCCTTCCAGTTGCCAATGGTCTATCATTCCCATCAGATGACGGTGCTGGTTGGGATTGATGGGAATTGGAAAAGATCGTCATGCCACAGGTGAAGACTTTCTGTATATATTTCAGATTCCAATATTAATGTCAAAAATACAAAGTATGATTTCATACAGGATTTCTGCTACATTAGAACAGTAAAGACAAATATCACTCAAGAAAATAAACATTAAATATTAAATAGCCAATAAAATAAAATAAAAGTGTAAGAAAACATGGCTACAGACGGAACAGCTTTCTCTTTCCCTTTTCAATCTGGCTAATGTTTCCTTATTACCAAAAAAATCCCAATGTGTTATTTTAAAACTATTTTCTAGGATGGAATACCAAAATAAGCATGGATATCACCAAATTCAATTATTTCTGAGGATGCTGGACAAAATTTTCTCTACAATCTAACATATCAAACAAATGATTGAAATACTCTTCTTTTACCATGCTTATTCTGTTTATCGTTTATGTGCATTAACTCAGCTGTCCTGTTTCTGAGAAAGAACTGATGGAGCCAAACACATGTTATCTCTCATCAGAGTTAGCAGGGATACTAAATTCCGTGTTCAGAAATGGGGGGGGGGAGGGGGGAGGAAGCTCACAGAGAGAATAGGAAGGGGAATATGTTGTCAGGTGTGGGGTCTAGACCCACTTCTTTGCCATCACTACCCAGTCAACTAACTTAGACCTGAGCGGGAATCTGTTTCAATCCACTACCTCACCCTGGCATACATAAAAAATATAGGAGATAGTTCAATTTTAAGACCAGGCACCGGTTGTCCCAAAGTGCTTGTCCCATGGACCAATTGACAGTTCCATCATTTGTGCAACAAAGCACCAAGGACTCCACTGCACAGGTGGAGTCACATTTTCCAAAGAGAGATTACCATATTATGTATTGATCCTGTTTTCTTATACTACCAAGATTTATTGTTTTGCCAACATTCAGCTGGATCATAGCTTTGAACTCAAGTTCATTTTCTTTTCTAAACCTAGCCTTAACATTACAGACAAAATGACCCCAAAAACTCATTTCCACCACCCTCATTCCTTAGAATGTACAGAAAGACTCTCAGGTATCTTGTTGAAAGGCGCTTTATACTTGGAGTCAAGCTCAGTCAGAACAGAACCACTAATATAAATGAGAAGTCAGATATCAGTTAAAGTTTCCCCCAACGATTTCAAAAGCTCTATTTTAAGCATGGCTAAATATGGGCTCAATTTTTAACCAAGAGGAAAGGAAATGTCTTGAATGATCAACTTTTGGTTGTAATAGTAGAGCTAACCAAAGACTTGGCGTTCAAATGTCACATACCTAAAAAATCCTTTGCAGCCTTCACAGGTCATAGCATTAAAATGAAACCCAGTAGCTTTGTCTCCACAAACACCACAGATACGAGGAATGTTTCTATCGAAGTCACTGGCTGGATCAGGAAAGGGTGGGCAAGGCGCCACGATCTCCATTTCTAAGAAAAAAGTAAAGAGGTTATCAACACTATCTCAGCTGTTTTCCCGGGAAACGTCACACTTTAACAATTCTAAATAGTGCAGAGTTTACAAGTGCCAGCAACCGCAGCCAACTTGGTTGCCAACTTTTTTCAACCTTTACTGGATGTTTTTTAAAAACCCTTTATTCAACATTTAAAGGGCCTGACAAACACATTTCTGATTTACGGTAAAATAAAAACCATATACTGAGACTGGATTTCTCAACTCCACAATAATGAGTAAGTTACAGGAATCAAATGCTATGGCGAAAACTAGGATATTTCTACCTTAACTTAAATAACCCTTCCGAAAACATTTAGGCGAAGATGAAACATGATCACATTCTATCACTTATATTGAACATAAGGTACATAAGAAAAGAAAGTGTCATATGAAGATGTTGAAGAAAAATATTTTGCTCCCATATTTTTCAATCCCCTTCAAGAAGCTGAGAAAAATAAAAATGGAAGTTACGTTTCCTAATACTAGTCTTCAGCATTTCAATTGAAATTATATGTTTACATTTTACTGTAACAGCCAGTGCTTTGTCTCATGACAAAACCATTTGACAAAAATGGGTTCCACATTGCCATTAAACAATGATATGTAGAAAGAGGTCTCCAAAAATAAAAATAAACAGCTAAATTATGGACAAGAAACCTGGAAATTCTTTTTCTTTTGAGAAGCCAGAACTTTGTTGACCTCCTATTTTTTATTTTTTTGTGTCAGGACCGACTTGAGAAACTGCAAGTCGCTTCTGGTGTGAGAGAATTGGTCGTCTGCAAGGACGTTGTCCAGGGGACACCCAGATGTTTTGATGTTTTAACATCTTTGGGGAGGCTTCTCTCATATCCCTGCATGGGAAGCTGGAGCTGACAGAGGGAACTCATCTGTGCTCTTCCCGGATTCGAACCTCTGACTGTCGGTCTTCAGTCCTGCCAGCAAAAGGGTTTAACCCATTGTGTGACCAGAGGCTCCTATAACAACGAGGTCTATCCCAGCTATATCTACAGCATGGAGTGCTTTGCAGTCTTGTCCCTGATTCTCATAAAGTGGGCTTCAATTCAAGTACTAAAGGAGAAAACTACTAGAAGGGGAAGTATGGGAAATGACATTTTAGGTCTACCCGTTATCTTATTATTCTTTGTCATACAATTGGCTCTCATTCCTTGCTTTATATACTGTACATGGTTTTAAGTAAGGGTGTCTGTTGCTGTCATAAGATTTGTCTCAAACATGTATAGTAGGGAATAGAAGAGGTTGCATATCTATATTTGCAAACTTTCCATACAATTCCTCACTCATTACATTCAGAGAATCACTGATCTGTCTAAGACTGTTCTACAATCTTTCTCCAACTCCCTACCCATCAAGTTCCTCCAAGTGGGAATTCAGAATTATCCCTGATTATGGATTTAATTTGGCTAAGGAAAACATTGACTATCTTCCTCAATAGGATGTGTACTGTATGTCTACATTTGTAATAATCAGGGACTAGTTAACCCTTGAGTATCATGGCAGGTTTCCATGTAAATCTCAAGTATGGTATCTGAAACACCTGGAAAACAAGCAGTCATGTTGTCTTTCCTGTTTCATGAATAAAAAATTAGTATTACTCAGTTGGTAAAAAGAAGTGTTGCTCAGCTGCTGTTTTTGCAGCCAGGAGCAGGGCTTTCCAGAACATAATTTTTTTTAATCACATATTAATTTCAGTATTGATCATTTGTAAACAACTGCACTATTGTGCACTTGCAAGCTAAACAGGATTGTCATATACCACTTTATTAGATGATTTGTAACACGATTAAACCCTCTCCTTCCTTTTGACTATGTGGAACATGAGATCTCAAAGCCTTATAAGGAGAATAGCTCTTTGGTCAAGCTACATTCTCCATGGTCCTGTCTTAAAACCTCAGAAGTTTTAACTATTCAGGCTCGATTAAACCTTTTAAAAATTGGTCGTAAATATTTAAGTATTATCAAAGGCTTTCATGGCTGAAATCATTAGGTTGCTGTGAGTTTTCCGGGTTGTTTGGCCATGTTCCAGAAGCATTCCCTCCTGATGTTTCGCCTGCATCCTCAGAGCTTGTGAAGTCTGTTGGAAACTAGGAAAGTGGGGTTCATATAGCTGTGAAATGCCCAGGGTGAGAGAAAGAACTCTTGTCTGTTTGGCCAACTGCAACATTCTCACCTGCCTCAAACAGATTTCATACAGCCCGGAAATCTCAAAAGGATTTAGGACATAGAAACCAATGAAATATAGATACATTTATCCTGTACTAGCCTAAATACCCCAAGGGCACCAGGTGCTGTCTCATTTTGGATGCTAAGCAGGGTATGCCCTAGTTAGAACTTGGGTGGCAGTCCATATATGAATTACTAGAGCTAGACTTCAAAACAAGGAATGGGCAAAACCTCCTCTGAGCATTTCATGCCCAAGAAAACCCTAAGAAATGAATGAGGCCACAAAATTGACAGGCAACGTCATAGAGAAGGTAAAGTTGATTGACATTGAAGGGAAGTAGTTGTGTCAACTGTGTACCACTCCAAAGCATAGATTTCCTATCAAAAATATATGCTAATCAACTGCTGCCTGACTTTGGAAGTATTAAGCTTAAAGACAACTCATTACTAGTTAACTTTAATCAACTGTGTGCTGTTTGTCATTTATGGATCCTGAACAACAGACTCCATTATGAATACTAAGTTGATTTTAACATTATTATACCAAAACATCATTGTTATGTTCTCAAACCCATCACAAAATATTTCCCCAAAGCAGTGTTTTACAATAAAGTAAAGTAAAGTAAAATAAAGTAAACATTGCTTCAAAAGTAATACTAATAGTGTTCACATGAAAAAGAATTAAAAGCAACACTTTCAAACAACTGTTGCTACTTTTAAGTGTTTTTATCTGAACACTATTAACACCATATTACTTCGGTATAACAAAGAATGTGCATCTGCTACTATCAGCAGTGCTTATTCACAATAAGAGGGAAACATAATAAAGACCAATATAACATGTTACTTCTAATCTCTGACTTCTGATAGAGAGAGAACAAGATTTTTGGGACCTTTCTGCTGGTCATTATTTTTGTGTGTCTATCTGATTAAAATTTCTGTCTTAATAGTGAATACTGCATAATGTATTCAGACTGACGTATTGAAGCTATATTCTAAGAATATAGATTAGTAAATGCTAACTTGATTTAATAAAAAGAGGTGGACCCTCAACTCCAAGGTTTTTGGGTCTCAGCAAATTGACCTTTCAGCTGGTCATTATTTTTGTGTGCCTATTGGATTAAAATTTCTGTCTTAAAATTTCTACCTCCTATTCCCCCGCCCCTTTCCTCCCCCTTTTTTCTTTCCCCCCTTACCCTTTTATGTCTAAATTCCCCTTTTCCTACTTTTCTTAATCACATTGTTCTCACACTTTTTATGTAAACAAGACATTTTTCTATCTATATTACTAATCTCTTCTTTATTTTGTTCCCCATCTTTTGGAGCAATTTTTATTCTCAATAAAAACAATGTAAACAATTCTGTCTTAATAATCATTATTGCATTATGTATTCAGACTGACTGCTGGCTCTATTCTAAGAGCATAGATTAGTAAACACTAGATTTGATGTAATAAAAAGAGGTGGATCCTCAATTCCAAGGTCCTCGTTTTACATCAAAGCAACAAAAAAGAGCAAGGAAATCATTCCCATAATAATTGTGTAAACAGCAAATAAATAGTAAACAACCTTTTTAAATGGGACCATTGTTTCGATCCTGATTTTCATCCCATTTCCTCCATTCATTCACAAACCAGTATCAACACATACTTTAACAACAGTGCTCAAACTTATTCACTTACATGACTAAGGACCTGCTATCAATAAGAAATTTATAAAAAATAATGTTTAGTATTTAGGGTATTTTTATAGTTCAGCCTTTTAAGTCATGTAAGCCCATAATAAATTTGAAAAATTGCACCATTATATTTTAATTTAGAAACCATGACCATCTGAAGGACTATGATTTTTAATCTGAGCTCAACATCATTTACAGATACTTGTAGAAGAGAAAATGTATGAAAAAGTGAACTACTCAGAGCTGCTCAAGATCTTTGTTCTTCCTTCTGACTTTTTTAAAGTGCCCTAGACAATATAATTTCAATAATGTCAATTCGCTTTTCCTTGACTAGAGGAGAAGGCACTGCAGTAACATTTTGTAAAAAAGAGAAATACATTACCCGTGTCCAGGTCATTTGGTAAACTCGGCTGGTATAATTCCCACGGGTTCTGAAACAGTGACATTGAGCTACCTGTAATCCAAAAGTAAAAAAATATATAAATTAAATAAATAAAAATTAACATCCAGCAGTGGTCAGGTTAAGTTTGATAATCAGAAGATCTGCTTCGAGCTTGGGAATTTAAACCAGCTTTTAACTCCAGCCCATTGACGTCAGCAACATACATTAAAAAGGTGTGGCATTCTGTAGAATGAGACACCACACCCAAAAGGGATTCATGAAGCACTAGATGTTAGATCTGCAGAAGACAATGCTAGGCCCATAGTACCTTATATACTCATGCATAAGTCTAGAAATTGTGAGAAAGTATAACACACACAAGGGCAAGATGGATGGACAGGAAGCTCTGACGTGGGCTGGTCCAAGAGGTCATGAAGATCAGAAGCGACAAATGACTCCCTTATTTGAGTACCGTAGCAAAAAAGTGAAAGCTTAGTCTGTTTTGGGAGAACCTAAAAGAAGCACCAGACTCCTACTCTCTCCGCCATGGCACCACTTCTAATCTTTTTGAATGACAGCTGCATTGCTGCTCCCCTCTCTGCAGAATGATCCTCAATTTATCCGAGAGTCAAATAAAAATCCATAATTTTGGCCCTAAAACCTGCCCTTGATTTAAACATGAGGATGACTTATACATGAGTATATGCAGAACATTGGTCTCAAGACATTATAAAGAAAAAATAGATAATTAAGAAGCAATTCTACTCAAGATTCATTTCTTTATCTTCTGATATGAAATATTACTTCCTCAGACAGCATATACTTAAAACTCTGAATTTCTCTACCACGAGATACAGTGGCAGTTTTCAAAGGTTGAACATTTTCTTGAAAGAAAAGGTTATAAACAGCTGTCATAACATCTATATCAGAGTTTCCAAACTGTGTGTCATGATATGTTTGTGTGTTGTCTGCAGTGTATAGGTATGTTGTGAGAATATAATATAATAATAATAAACTTTATTTATAACCCGCCACCATCTCCCCCAACAGGGACTCGGGGCGGCTTACATGAGGCCAAGCCCAAACAGCAAATTTCAATACAGTAAAATACAACAAAATAAAAACCAAAATGCAGTGAACAACACAGTAAAATAAAACATGATAAATACAATATGCAGGGAAAACAAAACAAAAGGATGCAATGAACAATCACAGAAACAGTGAGTGAGCCCCATAAACGATAAAATGATTAAAACTCAGGGTGAGATAAAAGGAACAGATTATTTGCAGGGGCGATCTCATAGGGAAACGGGGTAGTCAACAGGCCTTCATACTAGGGGGAAGTGTATTCCATGGACAAAAGCATTGAGGGGGCAATAGCATAAGGTTGTGTGGCTACTCTCCGAAAGCGCAATGGCAGAGCCAGGTCTTGAGATTCTTTTTAAAGCTTTCTAGGGTAGGGGCTTTCCTACCCTAGAAAGCAATGGGTTCCAGAGTTGGGGGGCCACAGAGGAGAAGGCTTTCTCCCTTGTACTCACAAGGCGAGCCTGAGAGACTGAAGATCGAAGAGCTTGGGCTGGTTCGTGAAGAGACATATGGTCATGAAGATAGGCGGGTCCCAAACCGTTTAGGGCTTTATAGCTGAGAACCTGTACCTTGAACTGGGAACGGAAAATGAACGGCAGCCAATGAAGCTCCTTAAACAAGGGGGTTGTCCGCTCCCTGTAAATTGCCCAGTTATTAATCTAGCTGCAGAACATTGGACAAGTTGTAGTTTCTGGGCCATCTTCAAGGTAGCCCCACGTAGAGTGCATTGCAATAGTCCAGTCTAGAGGTAACTAAGGCATGGAACACCATGGTCAAGTCAGATTTCACGAGGTATGGTTACAGTTGGCACATGAGTTTTAATTGTGCGAAGGTTCTCCTGGCCACCACTGACACCTGCGCATCAATTGTCAGCGCTGAATCCAGGAGAACCCCTAAACTGCGGAGTTTGTTTGACTAGGGACATAACAAGAATCCTCTGAGTCTATGTGAAATAAGCAATAAATCAAATATTAAAAAAATGCAAAGTTTTCATGAGCTATGCTGTGTTTACGTGTATTTAATTATTACAATTTGTGTATATGTCTCTATGTCTTATAACCTACTGTTTGCGAGTAAAACTGAATTACTGTGTCACAAAATGATGCATGTCTAAAAAGTGTGTCACCAACATGACATGTTTGGAAAGCTGTGGTCTATAAATTTCTTCCACTATTAGAGGTACTGCAAGGGCACACAAGCAAAAGAGTGCTACTCCACTCATGATTTAGTTGTGTATTTCCCAGAGATATTTGATTGGCTACTGTAGGAAATGAATGTTGGATTAGATGAGCTCCTACTCTAGTCCAACAAGGTTTTTATTCTTAAACTCTTCTCTCTTTGGAAATATTCTTCAAATAACATGTTACAATGCAGATTGCTTTTAATATTTACCTAAAATTATTCTGGGATTTCAATGACATGCAAAGCCCCATTACTCACTCAGAATTACAACATCATCACCTTTTGGAAGCAAAACATTTTCTTTGTGAATGGGAAACTTTTAGTGATGGGAAATGTGTAAATATAGGGTGTTAGCAGTCAGGTCCCACGTAGCACAATGGCTCCACAAACACCATCAGATATATTTAAATTATCTCCTAAAGCAGCACTTGGTACTCATTAAGAGTGAGTCAGAGCTGGTTCACTGAGTACAAGAAACCTAGAGTTACTGATAATGCAGATCTCAAACTCTGGACCTGCTATGTGAGGGCTGGCATACTATGCATCAACTGGGCCAGATAATAGTCTGTCACAGACATTGTCTACCATTTATGTATTTCACATAAACCCATTCAAATAAGACTCTTCTAGCCAGAAGTATATCTTCTTTAACAATTTTTGGTACAAGAAGCTTTTTTTCTTTGGGAAATTTGGACATTATGTGAACACATAAACGGTTTCTATATTTGATAAGAAACACAATTCTCAGTAATATCTAAAGGGAACTTAAATATTAGAGTGAAACTTGAGATAATATCAGAAACCATGCTCTGTCATTTGTGGATGTGCCTTGGTTTTTTGAAGGCGTGTAGCATTCAAGAGGCAAGTTTGTAGAAGTTATTCTCCTCTTCTAGTTAGGACAAATTCCACTAAAACCATTACAAGGGCATGCCTATTGTGACCCTTCTGAGTATTTCTACTTCCTTATAAATCCTCACTCTGAAATAATACATTTTCCCTGGTAATATTTTCCTCAAAAGATACTGAGAACGTTTTCTCATCAAGGACAATGTCACCATATTATATAAGGATTCCAACTGATTTGACTGAAGTTTTTCTCATTGTTTACTTGCATTAAGAAAAATCACTCCCATTATTAACCAAGCTAAATTAAACTGTGGTTTCCAAATTCGTTTTACACAAACCTTGCTTCAGCTCAGATATATCAGAATGCAGCCCTGTGCAACATAGTTATCTTCTAGAGTCTCACTCAGAAACTGTTTCCCATGCAAATCTGAAACAATCAAGGAGTACTTTGTGGCTTGAAGGGACAATGAAAACTAGGAGTACAACTGCTGAGAGAGTACAACTTGCCCCAGGTTAGTTAGCAGGTTTACAAAAATAAGCATGGATTTGAAGCACTGCACCACACTGGCTCCCAGCAGACATATTTCCATCGAGCCATTTGTCCTAATTATACAAACAATGAGGACGCCCTGGTTAATCCACTATGATGTATGTATAAACATAGGGGACAAAAAAGGCATATGGATTTTCCCTGCATACAATTATGACTGTGCCATTAAACAATGACTGTCAACTTTCGGATGAAGTCCCCAAAACTAAAGTAGGCTGCATCAGACTTAATTGTGCCTTGGGAAATGGGCTACAGTGAGACACTGTGATATTCACCATTCATTTCTCATTTGCTGGCTAAATAAATACATCTTTGAAGTAGCAATTTGATTAAGAGTATGAGATAATAGATGGGAGACAGAAACTTTTTTCTCTATCCAGAACAGGTTAGTTCTTTAGTGGTTAAACTGGAATTAGCACTTGGCATTTCAAATGCTGTTTCTAAAATTATGAACATCTTAAAGAGAGCAATATTACTGTAATATGATACCTGCATGTTTATCAGTGATTTACCAAATCTACATTTCCCCATCAGGACCACAAACCTTACAATGAACCATCTAACCAAAGTGTGGGGCTTCCATGCTTTTCCCACACCCCTATTTTTTAAAGCTACCTAGCCTGAGGAACAGTTCTGGAGAATTGAAACATTTGGATTATTATAGAATTGTAGATGGTCCTAAAATATTGTTACGGTAATCTGGAAATTTTGTTTGGTAAGGTAAATTGACATTAAGTCTAGTTGTGTCTGACTCTGGGAGGTGGTGCCCTTCTCCATTTCTAAGCTGAAGAGCCAGCATTGTCCATAGATACCTCCAAGGTCATGTGGCCAACATGACTGCATGGAGCACTGTTACCTTCCCGCCAAAGCGGTACCTATTGATCTCACATTAGCTCGGGCTAACAACGGGAGCTCACCCCGTCAGCGGATTCAAACTGCCAACCTTCTGATCAGCAAGTTCTGCAGCTTAATGGCTTAACCTGCTGCACCACCATGGTCCCAATTTTTGTTTTGTACCTATGGATAAATATGCATTATCTTCATTTTTGGTTGAAACCCCCTAGTTTTGGAGGTCTACATGAGCTAGGACAAACACGAGATTTAGCCCTATATTTTGAAACATGCATTGCCTTGTGAGACTATGCAGGCAGTCTCTGCAATTTTTGTATTGCTGATCCTTAAGGATTTGTATTCCTCTTTTTGTAATTGAAGAGCCATCACCTGCCAATAAAATGAGCACATCAGGAGAACTAAAAACACAAGGCAATATGATAACAACTGGATATGGGGGATGGTATTCTACATTTCATAGGGAACCCTGCAGAGAGGCCAAGATTCTACAATCTATTAGGGCAGAATTCTGGAGAACCTTAAATTATATCTGTTGGGGGTGCTTCAAACGCAATTT